TCTGCCATGATCTGTTCCTTGCTCCTTTTTGTGCAAGACGTTATATCGCATCTTTTTTTTAACTAGCATAGCAAACTCTAGGGTTTTACGGTGGTGCGCCATCCCGGTCTTTCTTGTATTTTGCTTCTTTTTTTTTATTTTCTTGGCTGTGAGGATTCTCATAGGATCCGTTCTCTTCTTGATGTGTAAATGGGATGTTCTCACGAGGGATTACAACTGTATCATGGGATTATGAGCCTATCAAATATGGATTAGAGAATAATGAATCACCGAGTTGCTATATACTCCGTACTATGTCCAGGACTGCCAAGATTGATACTGTCCACCTGTGGACAGGTACCTTGAGGGCTTACCTAATCTCGAGTCGACGAGTCATCCATCTGGGGAAGATTCTAGAGTTTTGGATGCCTGAGGCACGCACAAAGCTTGCCACTACAAATACAAAGAAAAAAGGAGGCAAAAGCAACAAACCGGGGAAATTAGAGTAAAATACTTTAAAAGAACAAAAAGTAAAAGTAGAAGAGTCTAGAATAAGATCGAGAGAGCTGCAGGGTTGCCTGAACGACATGGAAGTTGCTGGATCACCGTAGAAACTCTCCACCAGAAATTTTTGGAAACACAAAAGGAACTGGCCCGCCTCTTCAACTCTTTCTCTTCATCTCTCCCTTTTGCTTTGGTTCCTCCCCCCCAGAGCTTCTTTCTTTTTAATTACTTTGTGCTTTCTTGTAAGATATAAAATTCCTCCCCTTCCTCTCGTCACCGCTTCCCATCTTCCCCCACCCCCCCCCCCCCCCACCGCTTGATCAGACTCTGCATCTGAATCTCCCTTTGCATATTTCTCAATTGCTATAACTTCATCCTTTTCTAACTCAGATTTCCCTTCAGAATCACAATCCGCCATCATGTCTGAGACCTTCGAGTTCCAGGCTGAGATCTCTCAGCTGCTCTCGCTGATCATTAACACCGTCTACTCTAACAAGGAAATTTTCCTTCGTGAGTTGATCTCCAACGCCTCCGATGCTCTCGACAAGATCCGCTACGAGGCTCTCTCCGATCCCTCTAAGCTTGATGCCAACAAGGATCTGCGCATCGACATCATCCCCGACTTGGAGAACAAGACCCTCACTATCCGCGATACCGGTATTGGTATGACCAAGGCTGTAAGTTTCTGCCCCCAAGAGTTGTGTCAAATCACTCTCCTTATCTCTGTTTATGTCTTGTTGGTGCACGAAAACTAATATTCTTCTCTGATAGGACCTGATCAACAACCTTGGAACAATTGCCCGCTCCGGTACCAAGCAGTTCATGGAGGCTCTGTCCGCCGGTGCTGATATTTCCATGATCGGCCAGTTCGGTGTCGGTTTCTACTCTGCCTACCTGGTCGCTGACCGTGTCACCTTTGTGTCCAAGCACAACGATGACGAGCAGTACATCTGGGAGTCCGCCGCCGGTGGCACTTTCACCCTCAAGGAGGACACCGAGGGCGAGCAGCTCGGCCGTGGTTCCAAGATCATCCTTCACTTGAAGGATGAGCAGATGGACTACCTCAACGAGGCCCGCATCAAGGAGGTTGTTCGCAAGCACTCCGAGTTCATCTCCTACCCCATCTACCTTCACGTCCTGAAGGAGACTGAGACCGAGGTCCCCGATGAGGAGGCCGAGGAGACCAAGGAGGAGGATGATGAGAAGAAGCCCAAGGTCGAGGAGGTCGATGACGAGGAGGAGAAGAAGGAGAAGAAGACCAAGACCGTCAAGGAGTCCAAGATCGAGGAGGAGGAGCTTAACAAGACCAAGCCCATCTGGACCCGCAACCCCGCCGACATCACCACTGAGGAGTACGCCTCCTTCTACAAGTCCCTCTCCAACGACTGGGAGGACCACCTCGGTGTCAAGCACTTCTCCGTTGAGGGTCAGCTCGAGTTCCGCGCTATTCTCTTCGTTCCCAAGCGCGCTCCCTTCGACCTGTTCGAGACCAAGAAGACCAAGAACAACATCAAGCTCTACGTTCGCCGTGTCTTCATCACCGATGATGCTACCGACCTCATCCCCGAGTGGCTCAGCTTCGTCAAGGGTGTTGTCGACTCTGAGGATCTCCCCCTCAACCTGTCCCGTGAGACTCTCCAGCAGAACAAGATCATGAAGGTCATCAAGAAGAACATCGTCAAGAAGACCCTTGAGCTCTTCGTTGAGATCTCCGAGGACCGTGAGCAGTTCGACAAGTTCTACCAGGCCTTCAGCAAGAACATTAAGCTCGGTATCCACGAGGACGCCCAGAACCGCCCCACTCTGGCCAAGCTCCTCCGCTACCAGTCCACCAAGTCTGGTGATGAGCAGACCTCGCTCGCTGACTACATTACTCGCATGCCCGAGCACCAGAAGAACATGTACTACATCACCGGCGAGTCCATCAAGGCCGTTGCCAACTCTCCCTTCCTGGACACCCTCAAGCAGAAGAACTTCGAGGTTTTGTTCCTGGTTGACCCCATTGATGAGTACGCCTTCACCCAGCTGAAGGAGTACGACGGCAAGAAGCTCGTCGACATCACCAAGGACTTCGAGCTCGAGGAGACCGATGAGGAGAAGACCGAGCGCGAGACTGAGGAGAAGGAGTTCGAGGAGCTTGCCAAGGCTCTCAAGAACGTTCTCGGCGACAAGGTCGAGAAGGTTGTTGTCTCCTCCAAGCTGGTTGGCTCCCCCTGCGCCATCCGTACCGGCCAGTTCGGTTGGTCCGCCAACATGGAGCGTATCATGAAGGCCCAGGCCCTCCGTGACACCTCCATGTCCTCTTACATGTCTTCCAAGAAGACCTTCGAGATCTCCCCCAAGTCTCCCATCATCAAGGAGCTTAAGAAGAAGGTTGAGGCCGATGGCGAGAACGACCGCACCGTCAAGTCCATCACCCAGCTTCTCTTCGAGACCTCCCTGCTGGTCTCTGGCTTCACCATCGAGGAGCCCGCCAGCTTCTCTGAGCGCATCCACAAGCTCGTCTCCCTCGGCCTGAACATTGACGAGGACGAGGCCGCCCCCGCCACTGAGGCTGCTGCTCCCGCCGAGGGTACCGGTGAGAGCACCATGGAGGAGGTTGATTAGATGATTTCAGTCAACTTTCGTTATTGCTAATTTTTAAGTCTTACGGGAAATGGGAAACGGGATACGACCCTCTGTGATGTTTTTTATCTTTTCATTTTATGTGTTCTACAATAAGAACCAGCTTCTTTTTTATTTCCATCCACGGCAGAGTAGACTGTAGTGTAGTGTCTTTAGTTGGCGTAGTCGTCGACTTCAATCGCATCTCCGAAACATCTGGGCACTTGTTCTCAACTCATCCACCTGGACAGTATTCATAGATGACGATCCCTCCAATACAAACTTCGTTTCCCTCTTAAAGCCTCTCGCGACACCGTCTACGGATTTTAGACGACCACACTTTTACCTCGCAAAAAACTCCCTCCCCGTCGATCGTTTAAACAATGACCCTGTCAAGTAAATTGCAGTTTTCAGTCCCAATTCTGTCAATCCAAACTCAGCTAACGCGCATACTTTTGCCAGGAACCCCAAATGCAGCCTTTGAGCTATTACAATATATATCTAGAATCCCATCATACTCGCATCAATTGGGCGCGTAACTCAGTTGGTAGAGTGTTCGCTTTGCATGCGAAAAGTCCAGCGTTCGAATCGCTGCCCGTCCATTTCTTTTTTTTTCCATACCATTTTTGTTTTTATCCAAGCGCCCAACACCAGGTTGAAAATCTTGCCTAGGAAAACCATTCTATCTACTTTTTGAAGGTCAATTACATGCTTTCTAGATATTTCCTTGTTTAGTAACTTAACGGTTTGCAGCATAATCTAAAAGGGCTTGGTTATTTTTACGAATCTGAAATTCGAGATCAACAACTCAACCGATATATATATATATTGCATTGAGGAATGGACTGTGTACTGACGATGATATAATAGAGCGGTGTCTATTAAGCTACCTAGAAACACCATGCCATACTTTGTATTCTAGGCTAACAATGTAACACCTACAATTGATCGTCGACGGTATTTTCATACTTCCTAACTCTCTGTACGGTAGGTTATAGTGGAAGGCTGAACAGTAATAGGCTCTTTACTTGGCAGGTTTCCCTGTCGCAGAATTCTAGTATACCATATGTATGGATCTGTCATATACCCATCTATCTACAATCCTATTGTCATCCCGTTGTACGTAGAAACAAAGTATGATTTTTACTGCCTTCGTATACATCTAAAAAGACCACCCAAAAAGACATGACAAGGCCGCACAAGCGGCCGACTATTCTTCCATGTGGAAAATGTTCTGTAGAAATTGAGTTTTTCACCACACATATTTTATAGTTTATGGGTAGTAGCTGCTTTTTTTATTGTTCTAGCTATAATACTAGTAAGGTGGGGAACCCGGGGGGGGGGGGGGCTACATCTAAAAAGATATCATGGTAGGATCTTAAATATAACGTCTCTATCTATCTGGAGTCAACTGGATATGTACTCAGATTGGGCAGGGTACATTGTATACTCTTTCTTATAACAATGAATTAGCCAACGCCGTTCATTAAGAACATTGGACGTTTTCACGAAAAAAAAAAAAAAAAAAAACCGAAATAGACAATAGTGATTCGCTGGACTACGAACTCATCGGGTGTGGCTTAATGACGGGTTCCAGCTCGGGGATACTTAAAAACTGACCTCAGGGATACTCGAAATTAGCTGGTTGTATAAGCGAAAATCAGGGTATCCCGGAACTTCTTTTTGAGTATCCCCGAGCCGGAACCTGGAACTGAAGAATGGTTAATATTTTACCGAAGAAATCCCTATTGGCTTGGTGCTCATCTACCTACTGTAGTGTTGTAGGTAGATCGAGGATAATCACGTGGAGGTAGAGAAAAACTTAGGGCAGCGGAAAGGGATCCGTGGATAAAAAATAAAATCGTTATTTCCACTTCCAATGCTTTGGTCGGAGAACAAAAAAGTTACCAAATATGTATAGACCGACCTCCAGAAATGAATGGTGGTTGTGTGGCGTGTTGTTCATGCAGGCTATCTTGGTCATTGCCCTTGAGATGTACGCTCTCCCTATCTTCGTCCGGGCTACCCTAACGAGAACACTAGCTATATACTTGTGGAATGGCAGTTATGGGTTACTCCTACCATAACTCAGGTGCCACTATCCTACATGATCCCGGTCAATCTAGGCATTCTAATATTCGCCTCTGTCTACGAGTTCATCCTTGCCCTGGATGCGATCCATCACAAGAATAATGTTCTTCTCTTTTCAATCTGCATCTGCAATGTTTGCAGCTTTGTGTACTCTATCATGCAGTACACACTGATGAAAGAAAATACCGCGAGACTATATGCTTACCGTTATGCATTCCCGGCTCTGGTAGATACCACTCGCAACGTCTGGCCCCAGATCCGGCCAGCGGAGATCCTAGTGTCAGTTATTACAGGATTGTGCAGTCTGCTTCTGTGCTTGTTTGTATACTTCTTGCATAGGGAGTATTCATGGGTTATCTACAAGTCGGTTCATGGCAGCTCGAAAACACGAATGCGTTATCTGTTCTACGAGGTAATCCCTACCACCTAAGGCTTCGCTGCCCTTTGAACAAATCTCGAGTATCCACGCTAACAAAAGGCAACCATAGATCTTCCTCGTTCTGATAAAACTTCTCTTTTACTTCTTGTTAGGTTTCATCATTCAATACAACCTGGTGTATATCCACTTTAGGGAGCCGGAGTATACCCTTACAATGCTCCTCATTCCGGTCGCATTTATCGTTATGCTACTTGGTATCTGGGTTGTCCAACACGAACGAACCATTGGCGTGGTTGCTATCATCGTGAGTTCTCTTGCTTCCTTCCTCCCTGCACGCCAGACCTCCACACAGAACTATCACTGACCTTCTACAAGATATGCTACCTCGGTCTACTCGCATATCTCATCAGCCGCATCATAATTCTCTTTGGGGCTATAACCGCTGGAAAGGACATGATGTTGTTCTTTGCATTCATGTCTGTGGTGCTGACTTCTGGAACAATTTTATGCACCATTATCTGCATCAAAAACTTCGACCGAGGCTTCATAGTCATCAATCACTCGAAGAATGGCCATGCACAAGAGTCATATTCCGTACCCACCGGATATTCCCTAGCAGAGCCGCCTCGTTCATTTTCCCGTCCTTCCTCGCGGCTCACGCTTGATTAAGATTACATTTTTAAATTAGCAGATTTAACAAACATAATGTAATATAATACCAAGAGATTCTCCGGCCGCTTTGGATTCTCCTATATTACCTATGCAATGTATTGAGGTGACGTGAATAGAGTCAATCGGCTTGAGTATGGCGCATGCGACTGGAAGGATGTACGTCTCGGCTGAGATCCATACAAATCGCATCCAAGTTGTCGGCAGCATCTTTACACTATTTGAAGCTCTTGAGTGCATGCTTGCTGTCCTCCAGGGCGGAGTAAATTGAGTTTTGGGATAGGTTGTCTTCGATGTCCGACAGTAAGAGACCCAGCAATTCGATTTCCCCTACTAACTTTCGAATATCCTCGGGTGCATCGCACATCTCATCCCAACGGCTCTTGAGTGTGAGGATAGCCTCAACTAGTATTCTGCCAGTGGGCATGAATAGACAAGTGGCTGTGTTTGCATTTGCTAGTGTAAGACATCTTGACTAGGAATTTACCTTTGTATAGGTAAGTCATAAAAAAAGACACCTAATTTCTAGATTTCGTATCTGGTGACAATCTTGCATCTAGTGCGCAACAATACCCGGTAACATGAGGAGGCAATCTTTAGAAAAAGGATATTTGAAAAGAAACCCAACAGACATTGTAAATTACTACTAAAAAGACGTCCCAAGGGTGCCTAAGCCGGCTACTCTTGTGAATGGTAAAAACAAGACAAAAACATATAGTGAGGATTAGCTGGTGGTCATCCACCGAACTACTAACTCACCGTGTGGTGTACTCTCATTGAATACTACATGAACCTTTCATTCGAGTTGTAACATAGGATTAGCATCCTTTAATCATATTCACGGGGCATACGGGCTTTCCGCTCCGTAGGAACGATTCTAAATTATCCCAGGTTTGTTTTTCAAAATTGGCCCAACTCGTCCTGGAACAAACTCCGATATGAGGCAGCAAAGTCACCATCCAGTTCTCTCTCAGTTTCTTGTGAACCACAGGTTCATTTTCGTGCACATCAAGTCCTACGCCAACCACTCTGCCCGTCTCGAGAGCTAATACCAAGGCATCTTCATCGATCATTTTACCACGAGCAATATTCACCACACGGAGGCCAGTGTCTTTGGTTACCTGGAACTGTTTGTGGGACAGGAGATGGTGCGTACTCTGGGTGTAAGGTGCGGCAATAACAATGCAATCAACAGCTGAAATCATGCCTGTCAGATCAGCATAGTACTGCGCACCACCTCCCAGCCTCGCTTCTGCTTCCTCTTTCCTTCTCGGGCCGTGATATGCAATTTTCATCCCCAGTGCATTTTGGCACTTTTCGGCAATCGCAAGCCCAATGTCACCCAGACCGATCACACCCAACACCATCCCAGCCGGATCGACTGCCTTCAAGCCCAACTCTCGACTCTTCTGCCAATCGTATCTTGCACACCACTGTGCGAAGCTCAGATAGCGGAATGTCTCCAGCACCAACACGAGTCCGGTGTTCGCGACGGCCTCCGTGCATGCATTTGGCGTGTTACAGAACCAGATTCCCCGGTTGGTTAACGCATCGATATCTGCTGCATCATATCCGTGTCCACTACAGCAGATGAGTTTCAGGCTAGAAGGAAAGTGTGGGAGGACTTCGCTGGCGAATAGGCGATGAGATGCGTATGGCCCTGCTTTCAGCCAACCGGTGCGGACAATGGCGCAGATGTTGCTATACAGACCGCCAGGCTGAAGGCGAGAGACAAAATCGTCGACAGAAGCACAATCATATCTTAGAATTGACACTTTTTCGGAGAGAGTCTGGCGTCGAACATGGTCGATTTGTTGGACGCTAGATTCAACCAGCAGGATGGTCGGGATTTCCGCCATTATTCGCGTTCGGGTCTGGCAAAGGTCTGATTTTCTTTTTCACACGCGCTTTGCACATGTTTATCTCTACTGATATCTCTACTGATATGTCTGCATTGCAGTTTATCGGCGTTATCACACATCTGCGCGGGGTTCGGCTTCATGCTGGACTTGCCGGTCGGAGATTACTAGCTATCCCGGCCCAAACCTCCGCCAGCCGAGTGGATCTACGATTGCGCAGTGCATTTGATGGGCTTTTACAGTGTAAGCCACTGGCTGGCGGCTTTTATTCCGAGATTCGCAATGCGGAGTAGTCGTAATCTTCATGCCACCTTGGTCGGTACCGGGCCATTATAAACAGCGGTTGTTCATCAGGTAACTGCTGTTTATTGACTTTTACATCCTGATAACTCTAACACAAGATGACGAAAGCTGGGATCCGTATTGCTATCGATCGAGGGGGCACCTTTACTGACGCCTGGGCTCAAATCCCAGAACATGCCTCCGATGTCATCTTCAAAGTCCTATCCGAATCTCCCGATGAATACGAGGACGCACCCACAGAATGTATTCGACAGATTCTGGAAATTGCAAGTGGCTCTCCGGTGCCTCGAGGGACCCTTCTCGATCTGACTCCTGTTGAGTCCATCCGGATGGGCACCACAGTTGCTACAAATGCCTTGCTTGAGCGAAAAGGCGAGCAAGTCGCCCTGTTGATTACGAAGGGCTTCCGCGACCTACTTAAGATCGGCAACCAGGCTCGCCCCAACATTTTCGATCTATCAGTTCAACGTCTTGCCCAGCTTTACGAGACGGTTGTGGAAGTCGATGAGCGAGTCACCATCGAGGGGTTTTCAGAAGACCCAAATCCTAAGCCCATTGATGTCAATTCTGATTCAGATTTGCACCTGGGTTTAACAGGAGAACCGGTGCGGATATTGAAGACACCAGATCTGGACGCCGTTCGGAGTGACCTCTACGTGCTTTGGAACCAGGGCTATCGCTCTGTAGCTGTGGCCCTGATGCATTCGTATACCTTCCAAAAACACGAGCTTGCCGTAGCTGCCGTTGCTCGGGAGATTGGGTTCAAAGTGGCCGTTTCCTCAGAGCTGCAAACAATGGCAAAATTGATACCACGTAGTCAATCGGCCGTTGCGGATGCCTATCTTTCACCGGTGACCCAAAAGTACTTGGAGGGATTCCGGAAGGGGTTCCAGGGTGAACTCAGAGATGAACATGCCAAAAAGGTGTTTGTCAACCAGTCTGATGGAGGACTTACATCTATCGCAAACTTTTCTGGTTTGCGCGGAGTGCTCAGTGGACCAGCTGGTGGTGTGGTTGGTGTGTCTAGGACGTGCTATGATGCCGAAGACAAGACGCCGATATTGGCGTTCGACAGTAAGTTCTGACTTCACATACCAGAATAACCATCCTGCGTTTGAACCGCTACTGACACTACGCAGTGGGTGGTACAAGTACCGATGTCGCTCGGTATGCTGGAGCCCTGGAACATATATTTGAAAGCACAATTGCACAAGTCACCATCCAGACACCACAGCTGGATATCAACACCGTCGCTGCAGGGGGTGGCTCGATGCTCTTCTGGGAGAATGGCCTGTTCAAAGTCGGCCCTCATAGCGCAGGCGCTCACCCTGGCCCGGCATGCTACGGGCGAGGGGGTCCTTTGACCGTGACCGATGCTAATCTCTTCCTTGGACGAATCATCCCCGACTACTTCCCCCGGCCCCTAGACATGGCTATCGTGAAGGAAAAGTTTTCTTCCTTGGCGGCCACCATCAACGCAGAGAAAGATGGACTGTCTCAGCTGACGGCAGAAGAGGTTGCAGTGGGTTTCCTCTCAATCGCAAATGCAACCATGACTCGCCCCATTCGAACATTGAGTGAAGGCCGAGGGTTTGAGACCGCTGCACACAATCTATGCTGCTTTGGTGGAGCCGGTGGTCAGCATGCGGTTGCGATTGCGCGAGACCTCGGTATTCGACGAGCTCTGATCCCGAGATATTCGAGTATTCTATCTGCCTACGGAATGGCTCTTGCGGATGTGGTGGTAGAGAACCAAGAACCCGAAGCTGCTGCCTTCACTGTTGATAATATCCCCAGACTTCAAGAGAGGTTTGAGAGATTGAAAGATGCGGGTGTTGTAGGACTTGTTTCCCAAGGATTTTCAAGGTCGCAAATTGACCATGAGTTATTCTTGAATATGAGATACCAGGGCAGTGACACAGCTTTGATGATACCCCGACCGGTCAAGTTTGAAGAGTTTGGTGATGCTTTCGCCGCTCGCCATGAACAAGAATTCGGATTCACGCAGCCCCGGGAGATCCTGATTGATGATGTTCGCGTGCGGAGTATTGGAAAGGGTATGGATGTCGCCCTTTCTAACGCTTGTGCGGAAATGAAGAAACTGGCAGACTCGCCCCCTGCCACCCCGGTTGCTCCCGAGAAGAATATCAAGGTCTATTTCGAGCAAACTGGCTGGATTGATATCGGGCTCTATTCACTCAAGGATCTATCCGTTGGTACGCGCATCAGCGGACCGGCTATGGTCATTGACAAAACCCAAACAATCGTTGTGGATCCTGCTAGTGAAGCCGTCATCTTGCTTGAACATGTGGTAGTTGAGATCTCTGGAATAGAAAAGCCGGAGATCAGCACCGATGCGGTAGATCCTGTCCAGCTCAGCGTGTTCGGACATCGATTCATGAGTGTTGCTGAGCAAATGGGCCAGACCATGCAAAAAACCTCAATTTCGGTGAACATTAAGGAGCGATTGGACTATTCGTGTGCTGTATTTTCTGGTGAGGGCAGTCTCGTCGCAAACGCCCCTCACATTCCTGGGCACCTAGGCTCTATGAGCTATGCCATCGCATACCAAGCGCGACTATACGGACCCGGAGAGTTGAAACCCGGCGACGTTATTCTCAGCAACCACCCTAGCGCTGGTGGTACACATCTGCCAGATCTGACAGTCACTACGCCCGTATTTGATGATGACAAAAATCCGACCAGAATCCTATTTTTCGTCGCCAACAGAGGGCACCATGCAGATATTGGCGGCATTCAGCCGGGTTCCATGCCCCCCAATTCAACAGAGCTTTGGCAGGAAGGTGCGGCAGTGGAGTCTTTCAAGATTGTGAAAGAAGGAGTCTTTGACGAGCCGGGCCTTCTTGAGGTCCTGGTTGATATCCCAGCTTCATATCCGGGTTCGAGTGGCACTCGCACCCTGCGCGACAATATTGCCGATCTTCAAGCCGCGATTGCATCAAACAACAAGGGCATTCATTTGATTCAGTCCTTGATCAAGGAATATACTTGGCCAGTAGTTGAGTTCTATATGAATGCAATCCAGGAGAATGCCAGTCAGTCTACGCGTGGGTTACTCAAGATTATCGCGCAGCGATTTGAAGGACAACCTCTGGAAGCTGTGGATTACATTGATGATGGGACGCCTCTCGCATTGAAGATCACGATCGACCAAGAGACAGGCGATGCAGTATTCGACTTCACAGGCACTGGGCCTGAGCATTTCGGGAATTTGAACTGTCCACCAGCAATCATGTATTCTGGGATCATGGTAAGTACAAAGTTTTGTCCGAGGCATCAAAGCTTTAAATATGAGCAATTCGTCCTAACCGAACCGTATAGTACTGTCTTCGATCAATGATCTCAACAGATATCCCTCTCAACCAAGGCTGCCTGAAGCCTATCAAGCTCATATGTCCACCCAATACACTCCTATCGCCTTCGCTCAAAGCAGCAACCGTGGGATCAAATGTAGAAACATCACAACGCATTGTCGATTTGATCTTCAAAGCCTTCCGTGCAGCAGCAGCGTCACAAGGAACATGTAACAATCTCACATTTGGCTATGGTGGCACAAATCCAGTCACCGGCGAAGTAGTCAAAGGGTTCGGATACTATGAGACCATCGCTGGTGGATCCGGTGCTGGTGCAGACTGGGATGGTGAAAGTGGCGTGCACACACATATAACCAATACCCGGATTTCCGATCCTGAAATCTTTGAACGACGCTACCCGGTCATTCTCCACGAGTTTTCTATCCGTGAAGGAAGTGGTGGTGCCGGTCGGCATCGTGGTGGCGATGGTTGTATCCGCGACATCGAGTTTCGATTACCTATGCAGGTCTCCATTCTATCCGAGAGACGTGTTATCCCTCCATATGGCATGGCAGGGGGTGAAGAAGGTCAGCGTGGAGTGAACCTATGGCTGAGAAAGTATCCCGATGGAACGAGCAGAACGATCAGCTTGGGTGGCAAGGCAACGACACACATGAACACTGGGGATCATATCATCGTTCATACACCTGGAGGTGGTGGCTATGGAAGAGATCCACATAAAAGGGATGAGGTTTTCATGGATGTTTTCAGGATTCATGAAAAGTTTGCCCCTGGATCGTCATTGCTCCGAACGCAGGGTAGTTTGGCTGAGAGGAATGCAACGGCCGTGGGCAACTGAGAGAGTCAGACATGAGACTTGCAGATTGAGATTATGGATATGATATAACTTTCGGTCAACTTCAATGTTAGTAGTTCCCGCAATTAAATTATGATTCTTCATCCGTTTAGAGAGATGCTTCGCCTACGGTTTCCAATAATGAAGTCGAAGTTAACCACTGGCACAATGACTCGCTCTTTAAAATCACTTACACGCATTCTATCAGAACGTAGCTAAATGAGATTTTATTGACTAGTTTCAAGTAGCACCTATGGATAGTCAAGGGCCTGTATCCGATCAGGGTTCCCCGAGATCATATTCGGCAAAGGATTGTTCCATCTCGACCAACGACGGCCTTCCCAGTCATCTTCGATTGGCTTCTCACTCGCAAATTTCTCTGCATTTTGCTCGTTCCGACTCCAGACCCTGCGTTACTACTGTCAGCGCTGTATTTGCATATTCTTGCGACTGATCGAAAACTCACCTCAGGATATTCTCGCCAATCAATTTCCTGATTTGCTTGTCCGTGGCTCCTCTTCGCATCA